AAGAGAGTAATTTATCATAATTAAGCTTGTCTTTGAAATGTGAATTACCACTATTATGTATACATTTTGCAAGTTAAAACAAAGATTCCAAATTTTTCTGAAAATAGGAGACTATTATTTTCTAAATTTAAGAGTTGGCACTAAAGTAGCTCTTTTGTTGATTTCCCTTAAGTGAAATAGTAGTCACCTTTAGAGATGAATAAAAAATGGAATACAATTTTTCCAATCCATGGCTTTACTTTAGTCATTATGTTACTTTAAATACTTTTGAAGCAAGGAACAATTGAAGTAAATATTAATACTTTTAACAGCAGCAACAGTAAAACCTCAAGTTGAATATATTTGTGATATGAATAGTTCTGAATTTAAAGATAAAAGAAATGTTTATAAGTTTATGCCATAAATATGAAATCCTATTGAAAGTATTGTCATTAAAAGGAGTATTTTAGAGGTAATGCCTGAAAGTTAGATTGAATATATGGATTTCACATACATATATGAATGTAGTGGTAATATTCAGCACACTTATGTGATATTACCCTTTGTATAAAGAAAAGAATCAGCCACATCACCTCTTATATAAAGAGAAGAATTATATCAATATTTGTAGGTGGTCTGTTAAATTACACTCATAGCACATATTCATTGCATTATATAATGGCTATATTAACAGTGAATAAATATTTTTTTTCATAGAAGAATAAGAGTTAGAATTTAGCTGGTAATGTATGCATATTGTGAGAAATAATTTTTTGGGAGGTGTATGAGTATATTTGATCATACAAATAATACGTATTTATTATTGAAAAAATGAGAAATACCAATATACAGAAGGAATAAATATTTAAAAAATACCTAGTGTCATCATACCAAAAACCCTGACACAAATACATACTATGTTTTTTATAGAAGAGATCATATTATGTAAACTGTTTCTTACCTTATTGTCTTCTCTGAGTGACAAAACTTCTTTCCATGTCTATAAAATAATTCTATATAAAGAAAGAATCTTAATAAAAGCATAATTGTATAAAACTTGGCTGTTTTAAAATATAATTTAAGTATATTTATTGAAATTCTAACTTTTCTATGAGATCCTGAGAAATGCCAACAACTATAAGAAATGTTGAAGAGCTTAGGTCAAACAGAGTATTTGGGTTGAAGTTGACATCGAACTCTCAATCAAAACAATTATTTTTTGACTGCTTACTATGTAGTAGATGATTTTCTAAGGGTTTGGGATACATTATGTATGTTTAAATCCAAGAGTGGAAGAGACAGACAGGGAAATGAAAAATAAGTAGATTGTCTAGAATGTTTGAAGGTAGTAAGTGTTATGGAGAAAGAAAGAAAAGAGCAGGGAAAGGGGGCTCTGGAG